TTTTTTTTTTTTCTTTATAGTTTCGATGGCGGTCAGATCTACGCTTTCCAAGAGGGAATCTTCCATGGAACATAATCTAATAACGACTTTTTTGTCAGCACGTATACACGGTCCTTTTACACACAGGGGTGGCTCGTCATTCACCCTGTCCACGATCCTTTGCATCGATATTCGCTACCAGACAAGCTTGATTTCTAGCCTAAGTTCGGTTAGCCCTCTTCCATTGTGCATTAGCATCTATTCAAGCTGGTAATCGAATTCTACCGAGATAGCAAACTTTCGCGGGGGATTTGCGGTTGACTTTTGGCATTTCCTCCACCGACAGATTCTATAGACACGCCAAACCACCACTGGATTAATACTTCACTGTACAATTCTACGATTGTGTCAGTTGTAAATTTTCAGCTTCTAATTTTCGAATTAGAATCCATTAGAGCAAAAATTAAATATTTGAAGGAGCGGCGGGGGCCATTTTTCAAGGACCAAGTAGATGAATACATTTGCGTAAAATTTAGCAATTGCACTGATTATAAATTAAAGGGGGTTGAACATTTTTAACCCTGAACCTTGGAATTTAAATTCCAAAGTAAAAATTAGACAGGTTTTCCAAACTATATATACGATTAGATGAATTCTTTCGTGCAAAGTTCTATGAATTTTTTAATTTCTAAAAAACATATAAACTTTAATTTCTACAGCTTTCTTCTAACGACGTTTATACGAACTTTATACAATTCGGGGAATGGTAGGTAAGATGGTGCAAGCAGATAGCGCACGATTTTTTTTATTTCGGTTAGCAGCGGCCCCCTCGTTCATTTATCACGTGCACAAGGGCAACGTGTATATTTCGGAGGGGGGGTTTATAGCCGACGGAAATACTGGAAGTGTCTCTAGCCACCTTATCTCCGCTCTCGAGAGCGCGTATGCTAAATTGAATATGAAATTACGTGGCTTATCGCCCTCCTAAATGCAAGGAAATGCGATAGCACAGTGTTAAGCGACATTCCCTGCTAGACGTTGTTTTCAATTTCCCTTCAGTTTCTCCCGTCAACTCGTCAACTCTCATCTTTGTTTTCACTTTAGAATTTCACAAATATATCCATAATAGAGGATATTTTTTAATTAGCGATGTAAATTAACTCACCGGTTCTAACTTGATACTTTAGGGTGGTAGAGCAATCGATGAGAAGTTGCTGAAGGGTCAAACCGGTGTCGGGAATTTCGAGATCCAGCAGACGCATCATTTCGGAGGGATGATGGAAATCGAGCACCTTCGCGTTCCTGTCGTTCGTGGACTTGATGAAATCCAACAAAATGTCCACCACTTTCATCAGGAATTCCCTGGTTGCTGGATAACCTTCGGCATTCTGCGGCAGGATATCTGAGAGCAACAAAATTCGATACTTCAGTAACAGGTATTTCAGCTGTCCTTCGGATTTCTACGTTCATTCTTCTCAAAGCGCATCGATCTTATAAAAATATTGTTCCCTTAGTATCTTCAGAGTTATCGTGTAAAATTGCTGCATCTAAACGGACCTCAGCAAACGAAATTCATTCTACTGTTTTACTGATAGTTCCTCTTTTCTCCGAATAGAGGACGCAATTCATTTTTCTGAATTTCTTCGACAATTTCGACGAGTAATTCTAAGTCGACAATTCGCGAGTAAATCGTTAGTTTGAATTTTACAGTTCGAAGATATTAAGATAACAGGAAGTTGTCGAACGATACGACACCAAATATATCGGGATAATTTTAATTGAATTTAAACCACAAGTGGTGGCTCTAATAGTCTACTGGTGACTCTCTAATTGTTATAATCAAGTGAAATCTCTTCTACGACAGCGACACCGATCGACTTTTGATACCGTTTTATCGAGCGTCCGTCTTTTCGTCGGCGCTCCGTCGTTTCGACCTACCGCCGGCTCTTCTTCGCAGAAAACGTCAACTATTAGAATGATTTCACCTCATCAAACAATTGAAAGTATAGACCTATATTGACACACTCTCACTTGTTTGGTGGGATGACACCATCTCACATCGTCGTCGTCTCTTCATCATCTTCGTCCTATTCCTCTTCATCTTGCGATCGGTAACGAGTGACTCGTTTCGCTATTCAGAAGCTTTCGTGCAACTACTCATACCAGACGAAAAACGCATGCAACAACACAGTACAAGCAAGAACGCAGCAGAAACTTATGTTTTAAACATGTGTGGACAGGGAGTGACGAAAGACTGCGTCGTGGTGAATCTGAAGGGTTAAAATTTCATTTTCGTTGGAATTTCAAGTGCAAATTTTTTTTTTTGTCTCGAGGGAGTAATTTTTAACGGTGCCTTGACGGAGAAAACTATTTACGATTGAATGTGCTCGTGGTAAATCCTTGGTAGATTGAACTGTCCTTTAGTCGTTGGGTAACCATAAAGTATCCCCTGGAATAAACCACCCTTCGTTCCCCATTGCATTAAGAAGATCCCGTGGATAAACAGACCGGAAACTCGTATTTCGCCAGTATTTATGTTTTAAACTCGCTATTTTTCTATCATCCGAATAGAAAAATAAAAAATTACCGAATTACTTTTTTAATAAGATACAAACATACCTCAATGAAATATAAAACAAAACTATTCAAGAATCAAATTATCAATCGAAAGGTTCTTTTCGTTCGGAAACTGAGTTTTTTCTCTTGAGCTGAATTTTGAGACAGAGATTGTATTCAGAGAGGATACAACGTAAAGTTCTGCTAAAGAGAGACAAGTGTATTTTTCAATAATCACAACGAAGGATGAATAAGAATCGAATGGGGGAAAAGAAGGGAGCGTGGAACCTTATGGTGAGTCGTTCTGAGCCCATGGTTAGACAAGAGAAATCCCTGGCTTCCAGGGGCTCTGCTTCGGCTAATCCAGCTCTATCAATCTAACGTCTGAAAATAAGACCGTCGGAATCTTCCTTTTTTCGAGCTTTGCTTACACTTTCTAGTGATCAGGCCCGAGTCTGTTATCCGATCGATAGCCGCGTACATGTGGCAATTAAAGTTAAGTAATTATTGTTAGATCGTGGAAGAGAACGAAGCGACTGTTCGAATGCATGCTGTTCCGACTGGCCGAATTACGATTAGATTTCTAGCTTGATCTGGACGTGGGAGCTCGTCGTACGTCGTTTGGCACCAGATGCACCGGGCCCTATTCGTGGCTTTAATCGAAGCGCCTTCCAGGGGTTGTTACACGCGGCAATTAGTTCCAGCGATTTATAAGCGGGATTACTGGGTTAATTTATAGCAACGCAACGTTACTTGAGAATTCTCCAAGCAATCGAAATCTTAACAAAATTTCTCCGATTTAACACGAAACTTTTATTTACTTTGACGAACCTCTATCTTACAATTAGTGAAGTTGTTTCAAAATCTTTAACGCT